TTTTGATATGATTATTCCAGTAAATGATTTGTTAGCATTTCAGGCGTTCGATGATTATCCTAAATCATTTGGTGATATCATTCTTAAATATTATGTTTTCAGGGATACTTTAGTATTTTGTCAGGTTGACCCGTTAAGAGTTGCTGATTTACAAAATTACGTTTATGAAAAGATAACTGATGAAAATTATGAAAAGATTATGAATCATGTTTATAAATATGATCGCAAATTCCAACAAATCGGACTTCCTGCCAAATTAATTACAAACTTAGCCGCTACATCTGCTGACGCAACAGTTGATGACGTTATTATTTCATGCACAAAGATGGAAGTTTTAGAGGAAATATTATTACACCAGGATACGGTTTAATTGAAGAATCAGTTAAAGCAATACCACGTTTATTCAGTAAGGAAGATCCATTCATGATTCCAGCTCAACATATTGACGTTCGTTCACTAAATGGAGGTTGCATCACTCCTGAAGGTATTAGCTCAGATTTCTCATACGCTCTTCATAATGTTACAGATGTTGTGTTAGCATTTCCGAAGAATGCAATGCAAAGAACGGTTTTAGAAAATCCAATGCTTCGAGGTCTTCAGGTCACTATAGATTCCAGAAACTTCCCCGATCAAGCGATGACCACAGTGGGCGACATATTCTTTACACGTATGCTTCAAGCTTCTGATTTAGATGGAGTGAATGAATGCACAGAAGAATACGAGGACTCATTAACTAGACCACTGAATGCAGATGATGGCACACCATTAGCTAGAACATGGAAAGACCAAACTTCATTCTTATGCACTATTCCAGTTCAACGTGATGGAGCGGGTATATTCTTTGATGGATTAGAAACTTTCAACTCACAAGTTACAGTACAAGTGAAAGCTTATCCAATCATTCAGGGTGAAAATGACACTTACTGTTCAAAGGTGACAAATCCTCCTCAGGTTTGGTTTACTAGGACTACATATTGGACATGGACACCGGATGAAGGTTTGAAATATCATCCAACAGGTACACCACCACAGTATAGAAGTTCATATGATGAAATATTGATGAATAGAAATGTTTAAAATTATAAATTTATTTTTGATTAAATGGATTTAAATTCATCCACCCCTTATGAAGAATTAGCGGGAGTATATAATACATACGTAGATGATATGATTAATGAAGCATTGATGATAATAGAAATGCTCTATCTAAGGAAAAATTAATGAAAATTCCATATTCTGAATGTTACTTAAATTCAATCACTGCAGCAATTGGTAAACAGAATAAAGGTAAAACATTAACGATATTAAAACAAATTATCATTATTGCTAACACTTCCCCTATTCACATGTGTTAATTTATATCAACCGTTCAGGTTCACCTTCAGATGATACATTTGAATCTTTAAAGCATTTAATCAAAATTCCAATTATTTATTTATCACAAGAAGAAGCAGAAGATTATTTAAAAAACTTTTTAATGTATAAAGAATTATATAATACAATCAAGAAGCAAGGATTAGAGGATAAAATTATTGATAAACAACGGGATGAATTATTTGAAACACTTTCTATTTCAAATTTTGATAGAGAATTTTTGCATTCACTCATTTTTCTAGATGATGCAGTGAAATCAAAACTAATAACAAATGAGAAATCATATTTTAATCAGTTATTAACTCAATGTCGACACATTCAGTGTTCATTCTTTATGGCTGTTCAATATTTCAAAGCATTAAGCACAAACATTAAATCAAATCTATCAACCCTTTTCATTTTCAGTGGTTTTAGTCGTCAACAGTTGAACGTTATGCTTTATCAAGTGAATTTACCAATGAGCATTAATGAACTTTACACACAATATCAGCAATTAGGTGAACATGGAAAATAATAGTTGATTTAAATAAAGGAGTGTTAAATTTGATTAACTTTTTATAATTAATTTTTATTTTTTATTTATAATTAAACATGACAGAAATAGCAAATCTTCTACAGGTTCCATTAAAACAAGGACAAACAAAAAGGGTGCATATAATAGAACTATGAAAGTTCCTGATGGAATGAAAGAATTAGTTCATATTGTTGCTGGTCTTCAAAAAGATGTTAAACAAATGAGAAACGTTTTAACATTACCAGAAGCTCAAGCATATGCCAAACGTCATGGTCCAAATTGGGAAGCACACGAAGCAGACATTACGGGTCCAAATGGAAAACCTGATGGTATAAATGAAGTTTTCGTTACTGATGGTCAAGGAAATATTAAAGTCATAAATGGTTATAAATTAACTATAACTGATTATCCTAAACGTAAAGCATATAATGAACGTTATCCTATGCAATTTGATGAAAATGGAAAAGCTGTTAAACAATACATTGGAGAAGGTGAAAATGGTCCAATTAATTCATACCGTCATAATCCATATTCTTATTTCAATGAAGAATTAAATGCTGTTTGAAGAGGGACCGGATGGATTACCACGATATTCTAACCAGTTTGATGGTCAATATGCAAATATTAGACCTGAAATTTCAGCTAAGAAATTCTTTAAAGTTGCTTTATTCGATCCAGTTTTCGCAAATGTTAAAGATGAACTTAAACAGCAATTCCAACCAATTATAGTAGCAAGAATTGCATCAGGTGCTTTATCTCAAGCATTCAAAGATTTAATTAAGAAATCATTATATCAGCAACGAGGTTTAACTTATGATTTAGTTAAGGAATCAGATAAAAGAAAATTTGAGAAATCAGATGATTATAAGAATGCAATTAATGAATATATTAGGTCTATTAATTACAATGAAACAGCTAAAAATCAACTTCATGAACAAATACAGGGAATAATAGATTCAAAAGTTCCAGCAAAATAAAAGTTTAAATATATTTTTTTATTCGATTATAAATGAGAAGACGTTTCACTAGTCAAAAGAACACTAACGCAAAAGCAGAGATTACGGTTGGTTATAACGTAAATGATGATAAATCACGAATTATTCAAAATGTTAAAGTTAATGTTAGCCCTGAATTAACAAGGTCAGCAACTCAACCAAATTTATTAACTCGTGACTTACCGAAGAATGAGGAGAATGAAGAAAACCATGAGAATGGAGACCCAATCATTTTATCTGAACCCGGTAAAGAACCTGTTGAAATTCCCACTTATCCAACATACCCCCTCTTTCATCAAACATCGAGAACCCATATAAAATAGACATTAATTCTGAATTAATGAAAATTTACCGTGATATAATAATTAATAATTATGATTCAATAATAAATTTAATTGACCAATCCGGTTTAATTATTTTACCTTATGAATCATTAATTCACATTATCGCCATTCTTTGTGATGTTCAAGATTCAGACGTTAAGATTCAATTTTTCATAGATGATGAGGTTTCATGCTGCGGAACAGTTGCAAAAATAAATCCTATAAAGGATATTAGCACAATTAAGATATCAAAGAACGGAACAACAACTGAACTTCATTTAACATATAATGATATTTATAATAAAATAGTTGATGAATATAAAATATCACTTGAAAAATTCTTTGTTAAGGCTATTTAATATTCAAGCATTAACATTATCGAATAATAATCCTTTGAATCATAATCAATAATAATTGACCTTTCACCAGTTTCTATCGTTTGTTTTTATTTCTTTTTGTTCCCCACTATCCGGATCGGTCATTGTAATTGTTTTTGTTATAGTATCAGCTTTATCTTTAACTTCAATCTTTTTTCCATCGGGATATTTAAACCAAAATTCCAAAAATTCGATATTGTCAATCTGTTCATATTTTAATCTATCAATTACATTTTTAATACCATCTGAAAATCTTATGAAATGGTCATTATATGGGTTTGATTGAACTAAATTTGAATGAAGTGAAATATAACCTGTTGATGAATATGACACTGACTCATATTTTCTGAAAACACTAAAATTTATAACATGAATGAATTTCTTATTCGTTGAATTTATGAATTCTTGAGGTAATCTTATTCTAGTTTTATTTATCACTGGAAAATAACGCTTTACCATATTTTTAATCGTAATAAAAATGTCAATTATCAATATTATTTCGAATAATAACTGTGAATTAAATTTAACAGTTAGCGGAATTTATAATGTTACTCTCGTTTCTGTGAGTGGTAAATTTAATCCCATTCTTTTAGACCCTTCAGATTATATATCATTTATTAAAGATGACCATGAAAAAACGTATGATATGTATATAAATAATGTGATAGCGAAATGGGATATTAACATGATTTTAAGTTATTTAAATGAATCATTTATCGTATGGTATGAAGAAAATTTTAAATCAAAACCCGATAAACTTTTTGAACTTGATGAAATAAATAACCTTATTAAATTCCCGCTGAAAATTAAATTTTGTACTCCTCATCTTCGTTCATTGTTGGGGATATTAAATTTTGAAAAAGATGTTGGGGATGTTTTGTATTCTGACACTGGTTCCAATTTCATTTTAATCAAATGTGATAAAGTTAATACCCCAATGAGATTTTCACATCAAACATTAGACCCTAACTCTTACCCATCAATACAAAACATTTTATCCATCAACTTAAACACATTTTCTTTATCATATCCGTTTCAATTATCCGGGAATTCATTTATTCTTCATTCAAAAGATTTATCAAATATTAAATTTAGAATAACTGACCTATTTGATTGTGATTTAGAATTTATGAATGAAATATTATGGCAATTTCAAATAGAGAAAATAGCTGATGAGATAACAGATTAAATATTTATTTTTAAATCGTAATAAATGATTAAACAACAGCAACTTAAGGCGCAAAGCACCCAGGTCCTTCAGACCATTACATACGCCATATATGCATATAATTCAAAGACGGCAGAACAAACGCAAAGGTTAAAATATGGAAATTTGGAGATAGTATTGAAAAATGACCATTTCGAATTCGTTTGCAAAGGTGGTGCAGTGATATCAAATATAAAAGAAATTTTATTTATGAATTCAAAAATTAAAGGAATAACGGATGATATAACATCAATTCCACCAGAAGAACAGAGATATTACGCATTAAATGCATTTCCTAAAGTTTTGAAGATTGGAAGATTTAATTTAAATGAGGAATTCATAGAAGGTTTCCTAAACGACATAATGAAGAAGGTAGATAAGGAATACGTGGATAGTGAGTTAATGAAGAAGGCAAATTTGGTTTATGTAGATGAAAAAGATAATGAAATTAAAGAAAAGGTTGAATGGTATCATGAATGGACATCGGAGACTTTTAAAGTTAAAGCTGATACAGAATGGGTTTCAGGATGTTTAGACCTTAAAGCAGATAAAACTTATGTTGATGAAAAAGATAATGAAATTAAAGAAAAGGTTGAATGGTATCATGAATGGACATCGGAGACTTTTAAAGTTAAAGCTGATACAGGATGGGTTTCAGGATGTTTAGACCTTAAAGCAGATAAAACTTATGTTGATGAAAAAGATAATGAAATTAAAGAAAAGGTTGAATGGTATCATGAATGGACATCGGAGACTTTTAAAGTTAAAGCTGATACAGGATGGGTTTCAGGATGTTTAGACCTTAAAGCAGATAAAACTTATGTTGATGAAAATTATGCAAAGAAGTCGGAAGTAAATGATGTGATTACAAGCATGAAAAATGAAATACTTCAAACATTATATCCTGTTGGTTCTATTTATACGTCAATGAATTCAACAAATCCAGAAACAGTTTTAGGTTTTGGTACGTGGAAGCAGATTGTAGATAAATTCTTATACTGTGCTAGATATTCAAAGCAAACAGGAGGTTCGAAGAAAATTAAAGAAGCAAACCTTCCACCGCACACTCATACAGGAACTACAAACTTTTCTGGCGACCATAGCCACTCATTAAGAGACCACCCATTATACAACTCAGATTATGAAGCTGGTTATGATGTTTTATCTCCAGCTTATAACAATGCAGCAAAAAAGATTTTTCGACCAACTGAACCGGGAGGAAATCATGTCCATACTTTCACAACAAATCCAACAGGCTTGGGTAAAGATTACATGCCACCATTTGTGACTGTATTTGCATGGTACCGCGTTCAATGAACGCGCTTGAGCCCAGACCTTTGGGTCAAGGCTTACCGAATGAACTAAATATATTTTATGTCTGTAATTAATTAGGTAATGAAGTAATGGATGAACTGCAGAAATATATTTTATCGTTAATGGTTTTAGGTTATTCAATAATTAATTATTTTTGAAGAACTGAAGGTGTCACTACGTCACCATGTGTCACTCGGTTAATTAACTTCTCTGAAAAAATGAGACAACATGACATTTTGACAACAGTCCCGGAAATATGATGCGGTCCAAAAATAAAAAATAATTTTAAAATTATTTTTTATTTTTTTTATTTTGTATGTAAGAACAGAAATGTCAGTCGAAGCAAAAACATTCACGAACAAATCTAATGGCGAAACATTCACAAAAGGCACTTATAATGGTATTAAAGTCTTACGTAGAGACAAGGATGGTTACATTAATGCAACAAATATGTGTCAGCAGTTTAGGAAAGACTTTAGAAAGTTGTTGGAAAATAAGTCCTGGGAAGAGTATTATAAGGCATTTTGTGAAGAATATAGCAACCGCCGGAATTCAGACAGTTGCTTTTTATACAAAATTCATGCAGGAATTCCTGATAAAATCAAACAGGTTAGAGGAACGTATGTAGACCCAAGACTTATAAACTATATAGCAATGTGGGCTTCTCCAAAATATTGCATAGAAGATAAAGCAAGAACTTTTAACAAGTAATTTAGACTGTAGTGCGAAAGATGAAACAAATGAACAGTATCTTTATGACATGCAGGACCTCATCGACCATTTGCCTAAACTACCTGAAATTCAGCAGCAAAAACTAACTATTCCTGAATTCGACGAAATTGAAGTCAAAGCAACCGACTCAGTAGAAATTAAGAAGTTCATACGTAAAGTAAATTATGAATTCCTTGGTTTTCATTGCAACCATAAAGTTATGGACAAAGATTGCGACATGGTTTATAAAAATATTTCTGACATATATAAATCGGTGGAGTTTAAGACATACGATAACTTTGTTTCATTAGTTGCAAAATGTGTTTGGGAAATAAGAGATAAAGATAGAAGAGGTAAGGTATGGAACGAACAAATAAGACCCGCTATGTTTGAGATGAAGAGAGCAATTGACGCTTTAGTCGTTCTAGCTGGTTTTATTTCAATGTATAACGCAAAAATGAATCCGCAATGTTCAAAATGTAAAGCACCAATAAGAAAATATAACTACTCAGTCAAAGAGATAGAAAGAATGCGAAACGACTATGCAGACTTAAAGAAAGAAGCAGAAAAGCCAGCAGAAGATAAAATGGATATGTTGACATTTCTTAATAAAAACTATCCAACAGCAGAAGATTTCCTTCTGTCTGACGTCAAGAAGAAATATAAAGAGACTTTCGGCACGATTAAAACATTCGATGTACTAAAAGAAGAAATTGAAGCTACGAAATTGTTTAGGGTTTCAAATATACATCGTACAATTCATGTAAAACGCTTGTGAAAAAAGAGGTGAAAAAACGGGTGAAAAAACGAGTGAGATTTCACCTCTTCACCTAAATTATATTTTTGGTCAAAGCTTCCACGAGAGAAAAGATTCCTCATTCGCTAAGGATTCCAAAAATGAAAAAATCATTGATTTCGGTTGAGAAAAAACAGCAAAACCCTTCTTCCACGGGAACAAAGAAATAAAGAAGAAATAAAGTAATTTTTTTATTTATTCCCGTGGAAGATAGAGCACTTTTACGACACTTTTTATTCACGACAAACAAAGAAAATAAGAAAATACGGCGCTGTCGCGGTTCGAACCACAGACTCTGACCCCTCCATAACACCACCTTAGACCACTGTGCTACGTAGCCTGTCGACATAAGATTTTATAAATTGCATATTTGACGTAAATTTATTTCCCAGTTATTCAATGAAATGAAAACGATTAACATCCATGCATTTATACATAAAATCATAAATGAAAACTAAATACCAGTATTTTGCGTTATCTAAAGTGAAGAATGCCTCTTGTAAACATGTATCACATCTATAAAATCTATCTTTAAGCATCACTTGATATGTATCTTCACCTATTTCTCTTATGTTTTTAAACTTATTTGACATACATGCAACGCGTGCCTTCTGTGCATTCATTATTTTAGTCTTTGCGTAATTTTGTGTATTCATTGCATCGTAACCATATGATCCATTAAGTGAAATCTTGCAAAATAAACTTTTTCCTTTATTTCCTTCTAATTCAGCCTTTTGTCTTTCGTTCATAAATTTGTTCGCAAATTCATTAAAACAAGTGTTTTTAGTAAATGTTAAAATTGATTGAATATCATCAATGATAAAATGAAATCTGTCTATTAGATACCAAAGATAATAAGATGAAAATGGTTGATATTGGTTGTGTGTTGATGCTAACTGAGTTAATTTCCTCTGTTTCTGGTCAACTGGTAGATTGTTTGATTTCATGTAATTATACATAAAACTGCCAATTGTTTTTTCATCTGTGATAATATCTAAGTTTCTTATTATTGGTAAAAAGTTTATGTAATCATTAATGTATTTTTCATCAATGTGACCCTTTACTTCAGCCACGAATAAAGTATTTTTCTTCTTAATTATTCCCAGTGCTTTTGCTTTCTTTGTTGCTGTATCACAAATGATAACACCATTCAATCTTCCCGGCATATACATTTTATGGTCAGTATATTGAATGAAATCATGAGGATTAGATGAAAATGATGAAGGATATAATGAATTAAAGTCAACACCAACGAAATGAGTCATAATGTTGGTGGTGTCCTCATTTGATACAGTTTTAGTTTCTGGATTATATGAAAGTTTATTAATGTGCGTGATTCCTTTAAGATTTACTCTATGTTGAACATTTGATAAACCACCAGTAATTCCATTACGGAGAATGTGATAAGCTTCAACTGAATCTAAAGTCATTGGTAAATTATTTTTTAATGCATAATTTCTTAAATTGATTCTTAAACGTTGAACATCTTCATCTTTATTTGATTTTACGACATTGCAATAACAACACATTAACTGACAATTTTCTTTGGTATGTGGTTTTTCATTATCGATTCTATCCAATGTTGGTTTATTTGCATATGTAAACGCTTTACCACACATTTTGCATTTAGATGAAAGGATTAAATCGTGATAGTATTGAAAATCATCCATTGAAACATTATTTTTAGTATCCCTTTCTGCTTTTTCATCTTGTTTCTTATATGATTCAATTTTATATTTCCAATACTTTTTCGTTAATTCAAAACTTGATTCTATCTCTTCCTCAGGATATTTTTCATTAGGATTAAAGTCTTTATATGCTAAAGCGTAACGAATCATTGAAGCATTCGATGATAAAGAAAGATTATGAAGTGTGTCAATTTTATAAACAAATGTTTCTTCAATAATTTTATCAATTGAGTCAATCATAATTTCAACATCTTTATTGCAATAATGAATAAAATATTCTAATCTATTCTTAAAGTTTTTAGCATCATTGAGATATATTTGATAATCACTATCTGATATAGTTTCTTGAGTTAATGCTGAATAAAATGAATCTTGAGTGAATGGTTCCACTTTATATAATTCTTCTTCGTAATTCTCCAACGTGATGAATTGATAAGGGAAAAAGGATTTAACACGTGATTTATTGTTTCCGAAATCTTGAGTGAATTGGTCTAATGTCCCACCCGCTATATAATTTCTGATGTCAATAAATCTTAATTCATATGGAACGTTTGTTTTCTTTACAATGACTTGCTTAAATTGTGAAGATGAACCCAGCATTGATTTTATTTTCCATTTTGCAGTGTTTAAATCACGAAGAATTAAATTTAAATCAAACTTTCCCGAATTAAAACCTATGATATTCACTTTATTGAATTCCTCATCTAGAAGTTCTTTAAATGCTTCCTTCTGTTTTTCATTTAATGTTTGCGGCTTCATTAATTCTTCATATTGTTCAATATTTGATTTAGCAACTAATGAACAGGTTGAAAATAAAAACTCAATCCAATCAGAAATAAAAGAATCACTCGAAGTTAAGCAAAAATTCCTCGTATATGTTTTATCATTTAATTTAACCATTGATGATACCATGAATGGTTTTAAGTAAGCGTTCAAAGTTGCACACTCAGAAAGTTGTAATTCTTCTTTAGTCTCTAATGTTTCGAAGTCAAAAGTAATATAATATCTTGTCGGTTTATAATATTTCTGCAAATTGTGAGCTAATAACCACTGATATATCTTCTGTTTCGTAATATGTGGTGCATATGGTTGCTGTGTCTTTTGCAACTGAACGTCTTGAATTAATCTCCCATTATTTTCTTTACATTTCTCACAATGCTTTAAAAATCTTCTTTGGTTTTTCCTTTCTGGATCATCGCGGATAGAATAAACTTCTTCTTTACAATATGGACAAACTTTATAGCCGGTGAGTGCTTCAACGTCTGTTATTCTGTCAGCGTGAAGTTTTCCACATGGACTCTGTGTTAATAAAATATTTACTGTTTCAAATTCTGGATCTATCATTATTGATTCCACTAATGGAAAGTCTACCTTATTTATGTCCACGTCTTCTGGTTGAGGATCACAATAATAGAAATCAATATTAACATTTAACATTCTCGCTAATCTCTCACTTTCTGATGAAATGTCAAATCCTTCATAGGCATCTATTGCTTCATTTAAATAGCTTCTACGAGTTTTAGGATTAACACCATCAGGAATGTTATAGAAGCGTTTAAATAACCTTCTACCTTCTGCTCTAATTTGATTATCATTCATTTTAGCTGTTCCGTTTTTGTTCATTTATGTAAGAATAAAAAATTAAAAAATAAAAATAAAGTTTATTTTTTAAAGTCCGTAAAATGAATTAAGAACACATAAATTTTTATCATCTGCGACGTGACGAATACATTTTAATTTACTCAAGAATGCGTACCCTGATACATTAAATCTAATTCCTGTCTTATTTAATTTCACAACTTTGAAAAGGAATGTATGAATAGCTATAAAATGATGAGAAGATGTTTTATGGGTTGCTTCCATTTTTTCTGAAATAAATGAATAAATATAATGTTTATACGTTTTCATATCTTTTATGTTCTTAATAACGAATGGTATAGACCTTTCAACTTCATCTTCCTTCGGTGCTGTTCTTTCATATGAAACATTATTAGTATCTTCAACAATGAAACCGCAATCACATAAAATTTTATAGGTTCCAATGGTTTCTTTTGATATTTTATCTAATAAATCAAAAGCTTTATCAACACCTGTGCATTTATTTAAATAATAATTTGTGTAAATATCATGATCTTCTTTCTTAATCGTATTAGTTGCATATGTCACGTTTTTAAGAGCTTTTTTGAATTTTTCGGAATCGAGAGGTGGTGAAAGTAGGATACAGGGGTATTCTTCATTATCAATAAATTGTAACTTATGTTTACGAATAAATTTAGTACCTTCTTCTGAAAGTGTTTCGTCTATTTCACCATCTAATAAATTTTGTGTTGATTCTGAGACATAATTTTTATATCTTTCTTCATGAGATTTCTGTACTTCTGATTCTGAAGCTGGGATATTCATTAAACCCTCTACTTCATTTTCATTATATTTTTCAACTTCTCTTAATTCCTTAATTTTTTCATCTATTTCATCTCTTATTTTTTCCAGTCTTTCAATTTCATCATATTCATCATCTTTAATCCGTTCTTCATAATATTCAGGGAAAACATCAGGTTCTTTAGGTTTTTCTTCTTCAGATGTGGGATATAAGAAATTTATAACATCATCTTTATTCATTTTTCCATCATAATCTAAATCATTTAATAACTCGGCAAATTTTTGACAATTTCTTAAATAATATTTATCAACTTCATAACCCGCCTCCTCTAATATATCCTTTATTTCCTCGTTTGTGAATCCTAATTTTTTAACGTTGTTAGTTTTGACGCTCATTTCATACAAAATAAAAAAATAAAATAATAAACATAACTAAGTTTTAATTTTTCGTAAGAAGTTTAACCCATTCGGGATTTAAACAATGTTTAATTAATCGCGGAATATCTGACATCATCTATATATAGCTTCTTTTATAAAAGATAAAAAAATAAATTATTTTTTATTTCATTATGGTAGTGAATCTTTTATTCATGAAAATAATTATTTCTAATTTCTTTTACTCTCTCGTACATACTAGATTTAAAGAATTCAGAACATTTCCCATAATCTCCTAAATGTTTTCTTATCCCTAACGTGTGCCAGTTATTATATGAAACTGAATAAACTTTATCTTTACACCTTTCATCACTTCCAATATATTTATATCTCAGTTTTGATTTAGCATTTTCATATTCATTAGCGTTTAATAATTCACAGTCTTCCTTTTTAAATTGATGTTTAAGATATTCAGGATTAACAATTCTATAATATTGCTTCCCTTTAAATCTTTGAATATAAACAGGAACACCATCCTCTAAAATTCGATAATCTATTTTATCTGGTTTTACTTGTTGGGTCATTTATGTAAGAATAAAAAAATAAATTATTTTAAAAATAACTTTAATTTTTTTAATGGTTTATAAATAAATATATTTTAATGCATCGTCTATATATAGATGTAACAAAAAAAGTCACAAAACCCGTCATATCCTACTACTCGGATCTGAATCATGAGAATTTGATCGCATTCATTCTACACTATCCTGTGATAATGGTGCATCATGTTATTTCATTTAAATGGAAATTTCCGTTTAACCAATATGATTTGTGACGTTGATATTGTCCAGCAGCGAATTGAACGATTCGTACAAGCAGATCTATACAGATATTACACAACTCTATAACTACTGAATATCAGATAGCTCATTATCCACGAGTTTTTATTAATTTCTTCGTGCCAAAATGTGACAATTTTGAATATGACAGTGTTTATTTATTCTGCCGTCGCACATATAAAATTGAGAAAATTGAGATCATGAAAACGCACTTATTAAAAGACAAAAATTGGATACTGATTATGCGCTTAACACACCAAGAAACAATTTGCTCATCATTATGGCTTTTGTAAATTCATTATCTGAGATTAAATTGAATAAATTTAATGATTCATATTTGTTATCCAATTCGTGTTGCATGTCTACGCATAGATGAGAGATGATGCATTACATTAGGACCAATTCAAGCATTAATCAGAATGGAAATTGAATGAGTGGAATATCATTTGAATTTTTCAGGTTAGTATCAATAAAACTACAACAACTTAGCTAAACCAAAGACTTTTATATGACATAAATACCTAATTCGTGATGAATCATGTAAAATTTAGGAGATTTTGCTAAAATTTCCACCTTCTATCATAAAACTTATTGCTTTTTACTTAAAAATTCCATCATATAAGTCACGCTTTTTAATTATTTACAGTAATCAAGTTCCATAATATTTTAAAAATTGTGGACTCTACCAACGATAAGAGATTTTGTAAAAAAAAAACTTAGGATGGACTCTCAGGCAGCGCCGAAACGAAGAATACATTTGTTTCGTCAGAAACAAAACATAGATTGGGGGTTCAATCCAGATCCCTTCAAGATACCGCCAGACATGGCGGACTGTGTTGTAACGCGTAATCCTGTTTTGTCTGTTTTACAGAATCAGCAGCGCCAAATCACTAACGAACCATACATTCCTAAACAAGAGACACCAGCACCATTAAATGCTTCTGTTTCTCAAAATCAGCAATTAACAATTAACAATTCTGCATCTAATATCGCTGTCCAACAAAAATCTGAACAACCTGCAGGTCAAGATAATAAATTATCCACTATTGGCCAATTTCCAAGTATTGAAAATAAAGATGCAAATAATCAAACAGCTCCAACAATATCATTATCACTCAAGAATCCTCTTAAGCCAGCTGATAACTTACTTGCTAAATCAGGCCAAGAAAATGAAAATAAGGCCGAGTCAAATACAGATTCGAAGCCAAAGCTTACTGCAATGAACAACCAATTTAGCTTGAAGCCATCTACACCAAACTCTGAGGCGAAACCAGCAATCGGAGGAAACGGTCTTGGATTAGGAATGAAACTTTCTTCTTCAAAGCCATTATCTAACATTTCCGAAGCAGCTCAAGACAAACCAGCTACAGGCGGTCTTTCATTGAAGCTTCCTTCTTCAAAGCCATTATCAAATATCCAAGCTGCTTCTGAAGAGAAATCGCAACCATCTACAGGACTGAAACTTGGCATGAAGTTACCTTCAAACCAAGCTTCAGAAGAAAAACCTAAACTTGGCTTGAACCTTCCTAAATCTCCTTCTAATTCAACAGAAGAGAAACCTAAACTTGGCTTGAACCTCGGTAAATCTCCATCTACAGAAGAAAAACCTAAGCTTCAATTAGGTGGAATCAAAATCGGACAGACACCATCTAATTCAACAGAAGAGAAACCAAAATTAGGATTAAATCTTCCTAAATCTCCATCAACAGAAGAAAAGCCAAAGTTAAGTTTGAACCTTGGTAAATCTCCTTCTACAGAAGAAAAGCCAAAACTTTCTCTAAATCTTGGTAAATCTCCTTCTAATCAATCAACAGAAGAAAAACCAAAATTAGGATTAAATCTTCCTAAATCTCCATCAAGTCAAACTTCTGAAGAAAAGCCAAAGTTAAGTTTGAACCTTGGTAAATCTCCTTCAAATCAGTCTACAGAAGAGAAACCAAAACTTCAATTAGGTGGAATCAAACTCGGACAGACACAATCAAATCAAAAATCAGAAGAGAAACCAAAACTTCAATTAGGTGGAATCAAACTCGGACAGACACAATCAAATCAAAAATCAGAAGAGAAACCGAAATTAAGCTTAAATCTTGGAAAACCATCAACAGAAGAGAAACCAAAACTTTCTCTAAATCTTGGCAAATCTCCTTCTAATCAATCTACAGAAGAAAAACCAAAGCTAGGATTTAATCTTCCTAAAGCTCCATCAAATCAAACAGAAGAAAAACCAAAATTAGGAACAGGTGGAATTTCATTGAACTTAGGAAATAAACCACAATCAGAAGAGAAACCAAAACTTTCATTAGGTGGAATTAAACTCGCACAATCTCCATCAAATTCAAATGAAGAAAAACCAAAACTTTCTCTAAATCTTCCTAAATCTCCATCAAATCAATCAACAGAAGAGAAACCAAAGCTTCAACTTGGTGGAATTAAATTAAACTTAGGAAATAAACCACAGACAGAAACACAAACAGAAGAGAAGCCAAAACTCCAATTAGGAGGCATCAAATTAGGTCAATCTCCTTCTAATTCAACAGAAGAGAAGCCAAAACTTCAATTAGGAGGAATCAAACTAAACTTAGGAAGTAAACCACAAACAGAAGAGAAACCAAAGCTTCAATTAGGTGGAATCAAATTAGGAACAGGTGGAATTTCATTGAACTTAGGAAATAAACCACAATCAGAAGAGAAACCAAAACTTCAACTTGGTGGAATCAAACTCGGTAATTCTCAACCAAATCAACCATTGGAAAAACCAAAGTCAGGAATTAATCTCAACTTAGGAAAATCTCAACCTTCTTCTGAAGAGAAACCAAAACTTGGATTGAATCTCGGTAAATCTCCATCAAATTCAACAGAAGAGAAACCGAAATTGGGAACAGGCGGAATTTCATTAAACTTAGGAAATAAACCACAAACAGAAGAGAAACCAAAACTTTCTCTAAATCTTCCTAAATCTCCATCAAATCAAAATCAATCAACAGAAGAAAAACCAAAACTCCAATTAGGAGGATTGAAATTAAACTTAGGAAATAAACCACAGACAGAAACACAAACAGAAGAGAAACCAAAGCTTCAACTCGGTGGAATTAAATTAAACTTAGGAAGTAAATCACAGACAGAAGAGAAACCTAAATTCCAATTAAGAGGAATCAAATTAGGTCAATCTCCTTCTAATTCAACAGAAGAAAAACCAAAGCTTTCATTAGGTGGTATCAAACTTGCACAATCTCCATCAAATGAAGAGAAGCCAAAACTTTCTCCAAATCTTCCTAAATCTCCATCAAATCAACAAACAGAAGAAAAGCCAAAACTCCAATTAGGTGGACTGAAATTAAACTTAGGAAGTAAATCACAGACAGAAGAAAAGCCAAAACTTAGTGAAGGCGGAATCAAATTAGGAAATGTTTCTTCAAGTCAAACTTCTGATGAAAAACCAAAACTTGGTTTAGGAGGAATTTCTCTTAACTTCGGAAATAAACAGCAAACAGAAGAAAAACCAAAATTATCTTCATCACAAAACGTTGAGAAACCAACACTTGGATTAGGTGGAATCACATTAGGGCAACAAACATCAGAAGAGAACAAACCAAAACTTGGATTAAATCTTCCTAAATCAAATCAAACAGAAGAAAAACCGAAATTAGGAACAGGTGGAATTTCACTAAACTTAGGAAATAAACCACAATCAGAAGAGAAACCAAAGCTTCAATTAGGTGGAATTAAACTCGCACATTCTCCATCAAATCAATCAACTGAAGAGAAGCCAAAACTTTCTTTAAATCTTGGTAAATCTCCATCAAATCAATCAACTGAAGAGAAGCCAAAACTTGGATTGGGAGGACTGAAACTAAACCTTGGAAATCATCTCCAATCAGATGAAAAACCAAAGTTCAGTCTTGGAGGAATGAAACTCGGAAAAGTTCCTTCAAACGAATCACAAGAGCCACCGAAATTCACTCTAAACATTCCTAAACTTCCTTCAAACCAAGCTGAACAAAATGATGGAAAACCAAAGCTTGGATTAGGCGGAATCTCTTTGAATCTTTCGCAGAAGAAAGAAGAAAATGAAGAGAAGCCAAAACTCGGAATTGCTCCAAAACCAATTCAATCAAATCAAAATAAAATTGAAGAAAAACCAAAAGTGACAAATTCTGTCACAAAAACAGAGGAAAAAGCAATTTCCGCACCAGGAGTCAAGCTTGATTTAAAGCTTCCTAAGAAAGGATTTGGATTAATGAGACAACCATCTAAATCATTAGAAGTTTCAAATGATTCTGAACAACAAAATTTGTCAAGTTTCGGACAAATCCACGTAACTCTTCCAGAAAAGAAAGAAGAGAACCAACCATTGTCTAGCTTTGGTCAGATCCATGTAACTCTTCCAGAGAAAACACAAAAGAAAGAAGAGAATCAGCCATTATCCTCTTTCGGACAAATTCATGTAACATTGCCTCAAAAAGGTCAAAATGAAAAAGTGACAGAACAAAAAGTGACAGATGAAAAATCGTTATCCTCATTTGGACAAATACATGTAACAATTCCAGAGAAACTAGCAAATAAACAAGAAGAAAAGCCACTTTCTACATTTGGACAAATTCACGTTTCAATTCCTGAAAAAACACAAAAACAAGAAGAAAAAATTTCCAGTTTTGGACAAATCCATGTTTCAATTCCTGAAAAACTCCAGAAACAAGAAGAAAAGACATCATCATTTGGCCAAATACATGTAACAATTCCTGAAAAACTCCAGAAACAAGAAGGAAAATCAGTAATAGATAAACTTCCAGAAAAAACACAGGAATTAATTAAAAACATGCCTTCAGAAATAAATGTCAAGATTCCAGAACAAGTTCACTCACAACAAAATAATCCATTAGTTCCTTTGGGTGTTTCCTTAAATGATGTTGCTAAATCCCAAAATCCAACACAAAATAAACCAGATTTAAGTTCATTGAAACCACCACAAAAATCAGAAGAAAACAAACCATCATTAGGACTTAAATTACCAAATAAACCTAATTTCAGTTCATTAAAACCACCACAGAGTCAAACAGAATCAAAACCAAATAATTTAAGTTCATTGTTACCTCCAAAACAAACATTAGGACTTAAACTTCCAACTTCATCTAATTCAGGTCTTAAATTACCAATTAAACTTCCAAACCAAAACCAAAACCAAAACCAAGAAGCTAAAGAAGTTAAAGAAACTAAAGAAGTTAAAGCTAAAGAAGAACCAAAGAAAGAACTTGGCTTCAAGTCCGATTTCAAGATCGAAGGTGCAAGTTTCAAAGGCATCAATCTTAGTTCATCAGGCAAATTCGAAGTTCCAAGTGGTAAAAGTTTTGATGACATGATCAAACAAAAAGTTAATAAAGCAGAAGAAAACAAACCAAAATTCAGTTTGAACTTGAACTTAAATTTGAACAATAAAACACCACTTTCTAATGCACCAAAACCAATTGCACTTTCTCTTTCAAATGATGGAAAGAAACCAAGTTTGGCCGGATTAAATATTAGCAAAGGATCATCTCTTGCATCTGTATCAATCAACGCATTGCACAAATCAGGAGATGACGTTCCAAAACTCGCTCTTTCCATTGACAAACTTAGAAAGGAACCTCCGCCACCTCCTACTCCTCCTGCTGTGACTAAATCAGCTCTTGCAACAGAGAAAGAGATAAGAGAATCATCAATTGCTGATGTAACTCCTTTGGCAATGATTACTAAGATAAATTCAGCTAAGAAACCTGATTTCAGTGCATTGAAACCAAATCTAGGAAACAAACAACAGAGTTCTTCTTCTAATGAACAAAAACCACTCAACAAACCTAATTTTAGTGCATTAAAACTACCACAGAAATCAGAAGAAACAAAACCAAATAACTTAAGTTCATTGTTACCTCCAAAACAAACATTAGGACTTAAACTTCCAACTTCATCTAATTCAGGTCTTAAATTACCAATTAAACTTCCAAACCAAAACCAAAACCAAGAAGCTAAAGAAGCTAAAGAAGTTAAAGAATCTAAAGAAGTTAAAGCTAAAGAAGAACCAAAGAAAGAACTTGGCTTCAAGTCCGATTTCAAGATCGAAGGTGCAAGTTTCAAAGGCATCAATCTTAGTTCATCAGGCAAATTCGAAGTTCCAAGTGGTAAAAGTTTTGATGACATGATCAAACAAAAAGTTAATAAAGCAGAAGAAAACAAACCAAAATTCAGTTTGAACTTGAACTTAAATTTGAACAATAAAACACCACTTTCTAATGCACCAAAACCAATTGCACTTTCTCTTTCAAATGATTCAAACAAAGGACAAGTGCAAGGTGCATTGACAATTAAACCAATTCCTCTTTCAAAAGGAGATAAACCAAAAGCAGATTTTCAGTCACTTAAATTAGGAAAATCTCTTTCAAATCCAACACAAAATAAACCAGATTTAAGTTCATTGAAACCACCACAAAAATCAGAAGAAAACAAACCATCATTAGGACTTAAATTACCAAATAAACCTAATTTCAGTTCATTAAAACCACCACAGAGTCAACCAGAGTCAAAACCAAATAATTTAAGTTCATTGTTACCTCCAAAACAAACATTAGGACTTAAACTTCCAACTTCATCTAATTCAGGTCTTAAATTACCAATTAAACTTCCAAACCAAAACCAAAACCAAGAAGCTAAAGAAGTTAAAGAAACTAAAGAAGTTAAAGCTAAAGAAGAACCAAAGAAAGAACTTGGTTTCAAGTCCGATTTCAAGATCGAAGGTGCAAGTTTCAAAGGCATCAATCTTAGTTCATCTGGTAAATTCGAAGTTCCAAGTGGTAAAAGTTTTGATGACATGATCAAACAAAAAGCGAAAACAGAACAACCAAAAACAGAAGAAAACAAGCCAAAACTTCAGTTGAACCTTAATGGAAATGGTCTTCCGAAGCCTGGACTTCCAAAACCTCTGCCTTTCAACAAGCCAGGTATTCAGAGGTTGAATTTCTCTGCTATTAATTTAAAGAAATAAAGTAAAAAAGAGTTTTTTATATTATTATTTTCACATTTCAAAAACTATTTTTTATATACATTCTAAATTATATTACAATATCATTGATCAGTAGGAAATGCATGATAACATGATTATTTAAATCAAAATAACATTTTAAAGAGAGATTCTCAAACTTTCAAGCAGAAACTGCAAAAAAATTATGATAATTCGGATAGATATATGCATATGCATTAGTTTATCATGAAATTTGACTAGTATATCAGGTCATTGAGTAATGCTGTAAAAATTTAGAAATTGTAATTATTTTTACTTTAAGTTAAGATAAAAGTATAGTAAACTACTACTAGATAGAGAAAATGGCGGCTGACATTTGTTAGATTCTGGATATTGAGAAGAAAATATATAGGTTATATTATTTTCTTTGAAATCAGCTCTTTCAAAAGCTAAAGTTGGTGCAATGCTTAGTTTCATCTGTCCAAAACTTCTAAAAACAATAATCTCTTTTATCTTGCTCCCAACATCATATAAGAAAGCAGGGTCAATTGTCGAAACTGAATCAGGAATGCTAATTCTCTCTAAATAGACAAATCGTGTCATTGAAGCTTGAAATAATTTAACTACGGTGTTTGGAATTATATAAGTGGTATCTTTTTTGAATCTTGGATAAGCAATTAAAGTCTTCATATCCTTGGAAAATATTACACCATTTTGCGAGCAAAAACATTTATTATCTTTATCCACTTCAAATTCTTCTACATGCGATTGATCAAATGGATTATCTATAAATTTAGTAATATTTTTTGGAATAAATAGATGTTTCAAAAAGGATGTGAATAAACATCCTTCGTTATCAATAGTAGTAAGAGTTTCAGGAAGAGACACATTTATTAAGTTCTTAAAGTTATAAAATGTGTTAGCAGGGAGGAATTCAAATCCTTCCTCGACAACAATGTATTTAATTGAATCTCTAGGGCAATATTCTGGTATTGATATGTTTTGGCTACCAGTATAATAAATAGTAAGTGTCTCAGAACTAATAGTTCAAATAAATTTTCATGAAAAAATGGCACTTTTTTGACAGTGTATCAGGTTTTAAAATGCGTGGAACTGAATAAATTGTTCATCAAATGCTATGTTTTGAACAAAACTGATTTGTTATGCTGTGATTTAGGCTAGGTCGTAGATATTGAATTTTCCTCTATTGTATATTCATAAAAATAGTACCCAAAAATAGGGAATTATCATAAATATTAGATAGAAAACAAATTTGTATACAGTTGATTCACTTAGTAGATTTCAAAATGTTCCTATTGATATAATTTTCATTAAAGACTTTGTATAGTGGACATTTTAGATACTAAACAATTAACATATTTCCTCTTTTGCTAAATTTAATGTTGTTCATCTATGATTTCGCATCAAAGGTTTCAATAATGAAAAACATGTTCAATCTTTAACTTAATGCACGCTATGACCTTATATTATATATGTTGCAAAGGTTCAATATTGGATCGCTTTCTAGAATGTATTTGACTTGTTTTTCCCATAAATATAGATTCGGTAAGGCTGATTTTAAGAGATAAATATATGGAAAATGCCTTATTTTCAATTGCAAGCATATATCATTAGGATAAATGAAGTTAAAATGATAAATGAAATGAAGTCATTACAATGCTTATGTATACAGGCTTATTTCGGATGCAAATTATTTGAATTTGCATGTTACATTAGTAGTATATGCGATTTTCGAAAGATAGAAACAAAAATATTTCCTGTTGATTTTTCATTTTTCGATTTCTGATTTTTCTATGGAGTATTTTGTTTGCATTTTTGGAAATTACTATATATACGATGTATATCCAAAATTAATATTAAAAACAAGAATACGAGTATTTTCCATCAGAAATTAATCGTTGGTTACAAGACTTTATATTTTCTAAATAATTTGTTAATAATTTGCTTGATAACATAAATATATGCTTTTTCGGAAATAATGAATTATGAATTCAGACAACAAAGTCAGCTTGCATCGTTTTTACATAAGAAATTTGAATAAATCATCAAAACTAATAAAATAATGGATTTGAAATGGAGAATATATTTCATATTTGAACTTCGTTATCGACAAATTTCACTCAGTAAAAAAATATATTTGGCATCGACTATAACATCATATAAGCATAGTGCCAAAATGTTATGTACGAATAACCTTGTAAACTGAAAATAACTATCATTGTTTAATCTTTGAAAAATAGTTTTCCAATTTTAAATTAACGAATTAGGCCAAAATTTTATTATCATTATGAGAGTAATACATATATGAGCATATATTTTAATTAATCGATGATTGGATTTTTGTCAACAAATCTCAAAAGTAAACTTTTTTAGAAATTTAATTACGGAAAAATATCAATATATAACACATAAGGGATCATTTTTATCAGATTTTTTTTGGGCAAACCCAAATTTTAGCTAAAAGTGACAGGGAAAAAAAACGTTTAGTATTAAAAAAAAAGACCGATGAGAGCTTCGTTCGAAATATAGAGGGAACTGAGAATGCGCAACCATTCTCAGGGAATATTGGATGCTATTCCCGTTCCATCTGTATGGAAAATTGAGGTTTTCAAAGGGAGTTAAAATAATATCAAATTTATACTAATTTACTTCAAAATACAAAAGTATTTGACAGCTAAAATTAGTTACTTTAGCAAGCCTATCAATACCCTTTTACGATTATTGCTACTTTTTCGAAATAAAAGTAAAAACAAATTTATACTAATTTACTTCAAAATACAAAAGTATTTGACAGCTAAAATTAGTTACTTTAGCAAGCCTATCAATACCCTTTTACGATTATTGCTACTTTTTCGAAATAAAAGTAAAAACAAATTTATACTAATTTACTTCAAAATACAAAAGTATTTGACAGCTAAAATTAGTTACTTTAGCAAGCCTATCAATACCCTTTTACGATTATTGCTACTTTTTCGAAATAAAATAAATTTATTATCAAAACCCTTTTTTTTCTTAGTAAAAATAAAAATGTTATTTTATATCAAGTTTTTATTCATAAATTTTTATAATGTTGTATAAATTTGAAGGTGGAAATCTGTAATAATTTTATCTTGAAAAGACTTGGCATTCTCAACAATGAATTGAGGGGTATTGCATCCAAATTCTGTAATTTGCGTGAGAATACTAAGCTTGATTTCCATTGGGATACTTAATTTCGAAAAATACTGGGTCATTCGTTTTTGAACCTTTGCTGCCTTGACAACTTTATCAAGTAGGTCATCTAAACCCAATTGAAGCGTATTTAAGTTTGCTGATGAGTTAACTATTAACGATTTAATTTTATCAGTGAGCATTATACATTTTTCTGTATCCAGTCTGATTGTAGACTTTTTTGGCTTTTTTTCAGATGGCAACGGATTTGGAATTTTGTCTCTGAGCCTTATATCTTGAGAAATTCTGTAATAAAATGAAGGAACGATAAAATCGATTAATTTCATCACAAATCGATCAAATCTCATGAAAATTGTTCCGCCAAAGTAGTAATATTTAATTTTTTTGTTAATCGATTCTGAAATGTTATTTGTGAGAGCTAAATTTTCATCTCTTTCAGCGGCTGTCCATCTTTCTTGGTTTGATATCCATTGATTTTGTATGTATTTTGAAAATTCTGGGAATTTTTTCGGCTATTTCCAGAATTTTTTTGAACGTTGGTTCAATCCATTCTTTCTTGCCATTTCTGCCGTATGCAAGATAGTTCATTTTTGTATCTAATATCAATTTGTCTGAACTCTCAAATGCATAATCTTTCAAATTTTTTCTGAACGCCCTCATTACATGAACTGCACACCAATGAAGGATAACTTCTGGAAAAGAGTTGATAATCGCATTTTCGATTTCTTGTGCACAATCTGACATAAAATATTTTGGTTTTACTTTTGCCCAGTTAAAAAATGCCTTGAGACAGAATGCAATATTTTCTGAAGTGTTTGGATAAACGACAAATTGAAAAATTGGGAATGCATGTGTATTTGGAAATTTGGCTGATATCATGTAAAACAACATTTTAAATTCAAGTAATGAATGGGTTGCATCAATAAAATGCTCTTTCACAATTTTGATTATGTCCAGAAATTTGAAAGAAGCATAATAAAAGATTAATTTCTTTGGTTTGTTGTAATTATCGACATCGAAATAAATTAAATCTTTTGGTGACTCTTGTTCTTTGATACCCTTAAATAATTGAGTTGACTTGAATTGATTATCATCGTACTTTTGAATACCTTTGATAATGTGTGGTATTTCTTTGTCTCATCTTTGATTTGATTGTGATTATGTGTTCCATTATATTCTGTTAGGATATATTCTTCATCATCCTTTAGAAATGAGATACATGCTTCACATTTATCTGCACTGCACCTGAATTTTAATTTTGTTCCCCCTAAATTTGGATTTTTTTTAATTGATATGGACAACCTGCATGGCATTCGTTATCAATGACAGCTTTCATAGCATCTATATAAGATAGCCTTTCTTTAAGTTCGCATGGTGCATCGATATGCATCAAAAAAATGAAATGAAATTTCAATATCAAAAAAAGCACAAAATTTGAAAAAATTCACAAATCTCTGTTTCTGAAAGAAAATGGCCTCTTAAACTTTGTGCATATATTCATCTATAAGACACATTGTATCCTTATATTATTTAGCCAACACAACTTATCTGGTATCGAGAAAATTCAAAAAAAGCACAAAATTTGAAAATTGCTCGGTTCTACAAGTACAGTATACATTGTGCGTCGACTGTAGCCTACAGCTACAGTCACCGACACAATGAAAAAAGTGACAGAAAACTGACACCATACGGGCGCGCATATGTACGCATATATGTGTAAAAATAAACGTTCATATGTAAACTAACCTTTATTCACTAGCAGGGGCTGATAAATCATAATCGTCGAGAAGTACGATAGGTGGTCCCACAGGTTTAATCTGTATGGAGAGGCAAACGTGACGTAAGAAGCATAACACTGGTTTCTCAGTATATTTAATAGACTCTGCTGTTGGCTTAACTGTAAGCTTATAAAAGAAGCAGATCACGGAGGCAAAGAAACGCTTACATCAACTCCTTGATGAACAATAAGCTTACTTAAGAATAAACACCTTACATTTATAACTTTATACCTTTTTTTCCCTTTTTATGTGTTTGATCACGATCGAAAGATCGTGATCTGAGTGACAATGAACTATAAGTTATATGAGGATATATGTGAGTAATATGAGTAAAAATAAGAGTTATATGAATGAAATTAAGCGTTTATTCTTAACTTATGTGTGGGATCAGAAGTCAGTGGCTAAGTTCCTTATGGCGCGCTTTAATTCATGGTAGGATGCGTCAGCCTTAAGGAACCTTTCATGCCAGCTGTCTGACTCATGTCCCACACGGTTGAGACGAGATCGAAGATCGCAGATCTCGTTGGCATAAGAGTCAACTTTATGTTCAAGCTGGCTGATGTAGAGCTCTTTACCTTTCGCTTCCTCTACTTTTTCAGCCAGCTTGAGCTTTAGTTCCTCGAGAGCTACGTTTGACTCCTCCATCTGCTTCAAATACTTGTGGTTGGTCTTAATTAAACGTAGCTCTCGAGGGGTAGCCTTCGGACCTTTCCTTCTAGC